TACAGATATACACACACACATATATATATATGTATATAATATAAGATGCAAATACCCCCCTTTCAAAGATTCTGAGGAGTCAGGCATCTGCAGGAAGCTTTAGATTCCTATTCGGGGGCCGGAGGACATAACCTGCACCCCCTCGAAGGTAAGCAGCGGTGGCACGAAACTTGCATCTGTGCCCAGATTTCCTAGATTAGCAATGCCGGTCAAGCTTGCCAACCCACAAGAAATCACAACAGCTCCAGGCTGCTGCCAGGAGCTCAGCTCCAGGTGCCTGCTGGTTCTGTTCCCTCGCTGGGGACCTGCATTACTGTAGGCCAGAGAAAAGGAGGCCTCTGATTGCCAAGATTCAGGAACATCAAACCGTTTGGGGCATCTCTACAAAGTGGTTTGCTTCCTAATGGTTTTTACATCATAAAAGGTGCAGGGAGCCTGTGCTATCCACTTGCTTGACATCATTGACTCATTTCTCTGGGTGCATTGATCCCCCTGCCAAACACAACAGAGTTCAGGAGCCGGGGCATTGGGCTCTAATTCTTGCCACGTGCTCATTGAGAGTCTGATTTGCATTAGAGCCATTTTGCTAACTGTTATCTGACTCTCACCTTCACCAATAGCAGCAAAAAGCAGGCTTGGAAGTTTCACTATTATGATAATGCTAAATCCAAATCGCTGGCCGTGAATTTAACCCCAATGCTGGACAATCCAGATTAAGATCTATTCATTTTATTCAGTAAATATTTACCTTGTGTTTATCAGGCTCTGTGCTAGATGGAAGGGAAGTGAGGAACGCCTGACAAACAAGACAGACATGACCCCTGAGCTTGTGGAGCTGCGGTCTACTGGGAGGGACAGACAAAAAGAATTAAATAGATGAATTGATCAGTGACAAATTGTGGCAAATACTATGAAGGCAGCAAGCAAAGTGGTGAGCTGGAGGACAAAAGAAAGACGGGCCCTGCTTCGGAGAGAGGAGGTAGGAGAGGCCTCTCTGAGAACAGAAGGTGTGAAGGGTCCAGTCATGCAATGAGCAGGTGCAAGGAATGTTCTAAGGGGAGCCCTGGATGGAGTGCCCCACATCCTTCTCCGAGACAAAGGGGCAGTCACAGTGTTCGGCTTGGTGTATCACAAGGAGATGAAACAGCAGTGCTTCGAACTGGTACATTTTGGGTCAGGGGGCAAGGAGCAAGCCCTCTTATGTGGCCCTTTTTTCCTTTCCCTTACCACTGTCTTTCTCTTTGTGTGGAAAAAACAGAGAGGGATGAACATCTGATCTGAGGTGAGTGGTCTCAGAGCACCATCATATGTATAAGAAAACAGAATCACGTGGATTGGGACCTCATTTCCATATGGCAACTGGCACTTGTTTGACTTAAAGGTTAATTGTTGCTCCTTTAAAAACACAATTTACCGAAAGCCACTTCGTTCTCTTTGTAAAGCAGATTTCAGCTGTGTTGAGATAAAAAGTTGTTACTGACAAACAAAGCTAACATGACCTTTATATTCATGCTCTTTTAGATGAACTGGGAAGCGACAACCTGAAAGTGTAAGTCGTCCGTCTCCCTCCGGTCCTGCGCGGTATGGAACTCGGATGCTAGGGAAAGGAGCAGATTAGAGGGCCGTCTGCCTTCCCCAGAGTTTTTGTTCTGAAGCCCCGCGCGCGGGGACCTTTTGCTTCCTGGGCCCCAGGAGACAGCCCCTAGCTGTCTAGGAAATGATGTTTCAGTGCCCAAACCTTAATCCAGGGGGTGGATCCGGGCTGAGGACAGGGTCCTCTGTTCAGAAAAGAATCTTTTTCTGATGCTACCAATTCCAAATGCACAGTAGTTCAATATCCTGGGTGTAGTTCAAGGACATCAGCCCATTTATTCGGATTAACAATTTTATCACCAGGGAAGATATGTTTGCTGCTATTAAGGGAGGGGAGCCCTGGTAGAGGTGAATGAAGGGGAGAGAAAAGGAAGTTGGGGCAGGAGTGTAGGGGGTGGGGTGGGGAGGCGTGGAGGGGTGAGGCCGCCAAGAGGAAGGAAGGGAGGGAGAGAGGGAGAAAAATAGAAGATTCACTCCAGAAGAATGTTCTAGGGCGAGGCCCACCTCCTCCTCCTCCTCCTTGCCCTCCCCCTCAACAGCCTTACTCCTTAGGTACTTTGCTCACTTCCTCTACAAGGTATAAGGCCTACGTGGCCATCAGAGCTGGCGCTCCCCTTCCCCCAACCTTTCTTCCATTAACCAGGGGCTTCTCTTCGCTTAACTGTGTGCTCTAAGCCCCCAAACCCTGGCAAATGAGGGGCTGTGGATTTCATTAGAAAGCAATAGCTCCATTCCTCCAAGACAGGATGCCTGGGAACAGAAGGCAGAGGTGATCCGATCCTGTTGACTGGTGGCCTCTTTACTGAGGCACTGATCAAAAACCCCAAAGAAAGGGAAGTGAAATTAAGCAAGGCCACAGTGCTAAATGTGGCCACTCCTCTGCTTTGCACCTTTGGGGCAGCTGAAGCTCCTGGGTTCCCTTTCAGCCCACACGCTGCTCTATGAGCCTTTGCCCTCCACTCTTGGATCAGTGATAGGTGAAGCTTTGTTAGTTTTAACCTTTCTTCCTATTAGAGTTTAGTACACTTGAATAGGGTGCATGTTTAATCTACCTGGAGTATAAGACAGTGAATCAAGTTCATCTTCCTCACAGCCAACATTCTAGGCTCTCCCAAAATGAAATTCAGCGCACTACACTTTTTTTTTTTTCCTTTCAACAAATTTTTTGTTCTCTTTTAGCCCTATTTTTGAGGAAGACACACCCTCTGTTATGGAAATAGAAATGGAAGAGCTCGATAAATGGATGAACAGCATGAATAGAAATGGTATGTGGTAGCCTTGTTTTTTTCCATCCCCTCTAGTCAGAGGAGGCTGAACAGTTTTGTTGTAAATGGCCGCCCCTGAGTCCTGGAGTGTGGGGTGTGAGCCCAACCCGCATTAGAGTTGATGCGAGCAGGTAATACACTTGAGGCTGACCACCCTTAAATAATCAGTTTAATTATTACATCATGGCCACTTGTTTTTATTTTGGTACAAATTTTTCAAATGTTTTTTTTTTTCAAGAAGAAAATGGGCTTTATTCAAGCGAGGAAACCACTGATCCCAAATTATTTGGAAAAAGTTAATATCTGGCATTACCTTATATTTAGAGATCTATGATTTTAATCTGTGTATGGTTATAAAATTTTATCAAATAAGGTTGTTGACATAGATTGGTGCTGTCCAATACAATAGACACCAGTCATCTGTGGCTATTTAAATTAAAATTTAAATAAATAAAATTAAAAATTTTTTTCCCTCAGTCACTCTAGTCACATTTTGAGTGCTCAGTAGCCATTTGTGGTTAGTGGCTACTATATTATATAGCACAAATTTAGAATATTTCCATCACTGTAGAGAGATCTATTGGACAGCACTAATATTGATAGTGATATAGATATTCCCATATAATTTAATTTCAAATCGATATCTAGCAGTAATTGTAGTATATGTTCCTTACTTTTCATTAAATCAATATTTGGACTAAAAATGACAACAGCTGTTTTCTTTCTTTTAAAAATTCCTTTAAAATTAATAAATTATTTTGATGCTCAGATTAAGCTAATAAAATCTATTATTTTTATTATCTTATCCTTTGTATTTTTAACATTTAGCTAAAAAAAAACACCCTGAGGTCTGTTACATTCAACAATCTACAATGGAGTTCTTAAATTCAAAGATTTGTTGTTAGAATTATTGTATCAGAGGCTTATCAACATGAGTTTTCCAAAAGATTAGAGCCATTCAACTAAATTGTACAATTTTGAACAGTTTTTCATAGAATATTGGGGGATGTTTGGCTCTGAAAAGCATTTGAGGATAGGAGCGGGTCATTGAGATAATTCTTAAAGTAGGTTATTTTTATTGTTTTTAGTTTATAAAAGTAATATACATACACAGTAATTTTGGAAAATTTTTAAAAAAGTAGAAATAAAAAAATTTCTCCACCCAAAGACAACCTCTCTTAATATTTTGGTGTATTTCCTTTTGTTCCTGAGATCATTTTAATAAAAAAATCATGATCTTATTATACTCACTAAAACCATAAAGCTGAAAAAAGGCATTTCTATTTGACGACTAAAGCAGAGTTATTTTGACACATAGCTATGGAGTAATAGGAGAGAACTCTGATGACCTCGAGAAGGTGAGTTGCTCCCCGCCATACCTGCTTCTTTTCCATCTTGCATCCTGACTTAATTCATTCTGCAGGCACATCAGGACCTCAGGCGAAGCCATTTTATTCCACCGTCCATCCTGAAACATGCAGATTCTAGCTTTTGGAGCCACAGGGGTGGCTTCAGGGACTACATAACTAAGCAGTGATGAATTGCGCCCTTTTTCAACAGGGCCAGAAGCACATTGAAATCTTGTATCTGTGTTATTAGTGCTTTTTCCATTTTAAAAGCCTTGCCACCATTAATATTTTAACCTCTGGAACTGCCTGGTGAGGCCATTTCTGCACAAGTAGCCATACAGATCAGAGAAATGTGATGCTCAACTGTATGAATTTTGTGGCTAGGAAACAGAATTTCAGTGACTAATAATGAGTTTACTTTTATTGTGTCCTAGCCGACGGTGAATGTTTACCTACTTTAAAAGAAGAAAAAGAATCAAACCACAGCCCAAGGTACTTCTAATTTCTACCATAGATTATATGTATATGGGGGGGAAGAGATTGGAGACCACAGTAGAGCACTTTTGCTCACCTTCTCTGTGCTTATAAATTTTATGTGACAATTTATATGGGTGTATATATGTGTAGTGTAGAGAAAAGGAAGTGTGAGTTATAGAAAATAGGTACAAAGTAAATATCATAGTGACTCTTTATCTTTAGAAATAAATCAGTATTTCTGAATACTGATTTATCGTCCTTCTGAAGAGATACTGTTAAGTCAGCTTCTGTTTTAGTCATAAACCTTTCTGATTATAACAAACTGTAGGTTTGTTTATCTTGCATGAGTAGATGTTTGGTAAGGAAAATGGATGGAGGTGACAGTCTCAAAGGGGGTAGCTGTAAACAAGAATGAGTAAAATGAACATATTTTTATAAAAAAGAAAGAAGACCCTCTCTGGATGGGATTGCTATGAGAAAAATTAAATGAGAATTTAAAAAAATAAATAAATAAATTCTACCACTAGGTGGCTCTGCTTGATAGAAAATTTTGGTGCATGGAGCTTGGGTATCTTTTAGTATTCCACGATCTCATTTAAATTACATTATCTTCAGTGAGGATAGAAATTAGCAGGTTTGGGGTGTTTTTGATCAGTTCAGGACATGGGACCTGCTCATGAGAAATAGGATCAACCATTCAACAAGTCGGGGACTTTCTCCGTAGAGCACTGCTGTCATTTGGGGCTCACGGAATTGTTGACAGGGGCGACTTGAGATGACCAGTGAGCAGAGAACATGACTGAGCCCATGACTGAAATATTACATTCCTGTCGGATTAAATAAAATAAACTTTCAAAGCAGGATAAATACCACCCATTTTCTCTCCCTTCATGTTAACCAGAAGCCCTGTGCCAATCATCTTAAACACTCCCAGAGTGTAGTCACTGTCTTTGGGCATCCCTGAGGCAGAGCAATGCGGAGAAAGACTGATTACTAGACAGTGATTGGGGCAGTTGGATATTCATCTTCTGGATCCTTATTCTGCAACTGAACCTTCCTCTAAACCTTACCTAAGAAGTCGCCATCTGACATCTGTCCCTGCATCGTGCCACCACAGCTCAGCTCTGAAGCAGATTTTATTTTATTGCAGATTTTAGAGAAAATATTTGTTACCTCTGCAGGCATTTGCGTGTTAAAATTTATTACTGGTTCAGAAAAGATTCCATCTTACATAAATGAGATACCAGATATTAACAAGCAGATGAAAGAAAAGAAATGTTCGGAGAAGTACCACAGAGGACACCACCACAAAGGAAATTTTTCCTTGCATTTTTACCTTACCTAATGATGAGGCACTATGTATGTCTAGTACAGGGCTCAGGTCTCCACGAAAACCCTATAAATATCTTATTACTGTATCTCTAATGGGCCCTGTCACGTGATACGAAATGTCAATGGTTTTCATATACCTGTCTCTTGTTCTTTGAAATCATTGACAACATAGAAGAAGCTTAATGTTAGAGTATTGTAAAATGCCTAAAGCTTCTTAGCTAGCATAGTTTTGAAATGTTGAGAGGTGGTCTTAAAAATAAGCTTGAGCTCATTTCTGCCTGTGAGGCAAAGAGTCTTAACCTATTTGGAGAACTGCTTTATGCTAAATTGTTATTTTTAAAAGGAATGCCTACATTCCTCTATTGGTTTAGAACTGCCTGGCTCTAATTCACAAGACAACTGTCAGGCCTTTACCTCGTTCCTTCTCTGTGAAGCCAGCACCAGCCAAGAGTGGCAAGTCACAAGACTGGTGCCACAGGGCACTTTCTGGTTACTTCAGTGGGTATTATGGTATTGCAAAGCCAACTCTATTTTGATTCAGTAAAAACTCAGAAAAGTACAAAGCACTTAGAAAAAAAGCCTGGCAAAGATAAACTCCCAATAAATATTGGTTATTATTAACAAATTAAAACGAATACATGTAGACTCATTCCCTTTCGGGTTAATGCAGCTGTTTCCTGAGGCCCAGGCACATGTCTATCGTTGGGTGGGGCATTATTTTCCCCCCTGGTTTCCCTGGTGACTTCTTTTTGGACCTCACTAATCCTGAGGAATCAGGAATTTGTTTGATCTTCTAGGAACGAGTTGGAGACTTTTGACACCCCTCCATCACCATCATAGGCCTTTAGTGTTGGTGGTTTCAGAATAGTCCTCTTAGCGGTCTGGAGGTTTTGAAAGAATATATGTATAGTTTGAATTATTTTATAGTTTGCATTATCTTTCTTTTCTGATTTCATGATGTCATGATTTCATTCACATTTCTTTTTCCTACTGTCCTAATTGCATGGATAATTAGTGAAGCTTTTCCTTGTGGTGTGCAGACTTCAGACTTCTCTTGTAACGGTTCGTAACCCAGGTCTTTCGGAGCTTTGAATATTTAATCCGAGACGGCGCTAAGATTTGCTTTTTTCTCTAAAAGCTTATGAATCATTAGAGATACAGGTAGAGAGCACATTGGTCATTGGACTTGGAAAATTAGTTTTAAGACCTGACTTGAATGGTCATTTGTTCCTTATACTAAGACAAGTCACTTTAACTCTCCTAGCTTCAGTTTCCTCATCTTGAAAAATGGAAATAATGACACCTGTTCTTCTAGTTTCACAGGATCATAAGAGAGAGAGAAAGAGAGAGAGAGAGAGAGGATACTTTGTAAGTGTTAAGGCACCATGCAAATAACACTAATTCTGTTACTCTCTGGCAACTGTTCTCCCTCCTTCTCCAATCGGCTTTTTTTTTTTTTTTTAAGACTGTATTTTAGAGCAATTTTAGATTCATAGCATAATTGAGCGGAAAGTACAGAGATTTCCCATATGCCCCCTGTCCCCATACATGCACAGCCTCCCCCACTAGAATGGTACATTTGTTACAATCGGTTAACCTACTTTGACACATCATTACCCCAAAAGTTCCCCATTGGCTTTTACCAATGTGAATCATCCTTCCTCTACCATTTAAACAGTGTGCGGGTGACGCTAATGCTTCAGAAGATATATAATAGTCACTGAGACTGAACTTATTGGTAAACACATTTCCCTATCCTCCTGGTAAATTAAGACTTCTGGAATCTGTTTACAAGGTTCAGCCCTTCTTGTTGCCAGAAAGTCACCCTGACATAGAAGCTCTATTACACGTAAGGTCTGCTATGTTTCTGGGAAAAAGGAGAGTTTCTGGTCACCAGCCTACACTTGACGTGCCACATGGTGTGCAGAGGCTTGGACCTTCAACTTTCTCTCGTTAGCTTCCATAATCCCAGGTCTTTCAGAACTTTTCCCACATATCCCATTGGTTAGCCATCGTTCATTACTTTGCCCTGTCTTCACAGAAGGGACATTTATCTTGAGCTATGGAACTTAAATTTTGCATAGGATTTAAATAAGGGCCAGAGATATATAAAGTACCAAGGGAAGCTTATGTTATGGTTTTCTTTCTTTCTTTTTTTTTTAAATCTAAAGGAAAAGACGAAAGAATTGTGGAGGAAGGGAAGTTCTATATTCTTATTTCTCACATTAGCACTTTCCCTGTAATTCATGTCTGTTATGTGCCAGGCATTGTGTGAGGTACTGAGGACAGTGGCAGTGGAATAGTGTCCAGGGGGTGGTGCAGGGGAGCTGGAGAGGTCTTCCCCAGAGTTGATGAGAACGTCATTGTTGACATCGGTAAGCATTGCCAGTGTGTGGTGAGAACAAAAATGGACCCACCGAGTGGGTTTTATTATTGCTTAAATTCTCTGTAAAGAATGCACTTCCTTATTGTCTAACCCTTCCCTCACAAGACCTCCCCAAATGCCACGGGATTGCTGGAAAGACAAGAAAGATAGAGTCCGTGTAATCACAGTGCTTACAGGCTTGCCAGCCTCTTCCTTCTTCCAGAGGCCTTTTGTAGTTGGACGTCCAATTCCCGAAAGCTTGGCGTTTCTGTCTCTGCAAGTTGACATGAACAACCACAGAAAAGGAATTGCAAATAGTAGCCAAGCACTCATCTCCTTTCCCTTTATGCCCGTTGGCTACAGCGATGATTTTATATTGAGTAACAGCATTGGGAAAGATTAGGAACAAAATTAGATTAGGCTCCTCCAAGTGGAATTATAATTTTGAAAGTATAGTAATAGCAATAATAAGACATTTATATAGCATTTTCTATATGCCCAATGCTTAGGTGCTATCACCTAGGAAACTAAGTCAGAGAAGATAACAGTATGCCTGTTCTGGTTTGGCAATAGTTCTATTGTTTATTCTATTGATTCATGTCTGAGTTAATGACATTATAAAAATGAATCACTTCAATATTTTTCAGAAAAATGCAGGTTAGTTTAATAGAGCATCTTGTGAATTTCTTTTTCTTTCTTTCTCTTTCTCTTTTTTTTTTTTGAGAAAGTATAATTGTTGATGTAGTCTCTCAAAATATATTTATTGAGCACCTAATTTGTTCCTGACAGTGTCTACATCAAGCCAAGACAACTAGTTGAAAATGAAATAATCCATCTAAGTAAACCTGGAACTCAGAGAGGTTAAGTGATTTGTCCAAATTCGCACTGCAAGTTTATGATAAAGGTCGATTTAGAGAAGAGTTTAAAACTGCATTTTTTCCTATTAATTAGTTAAAATAAAAGAAATATTCCATAAATTAAAAACAAATTAGAGATTTAAAAAAAAAAAACACTTAGCAGCAAGAAAGCCAGGCACCATGAAGCTAATATATGAAAGTATTTGGTGAGTGAGGTGTTCATCATCTAGTGCAGGCATTGACATGACTGAACCATTGCTTACAAGAAAACAGTAGTTTTGTGTGAACTGCTTTGGCCTCTTCACTCAAGCAAATGTCTGTGGACACTTCCTATTATTATTTGTTTATATGTGAGGGTTTTTTTCTCTCTTCCTCTCTAGTCCCCCAAAATTCATTTATAAGTCAAGAAGTATTGAATATTCAGTGTATTAAGTGACAACCGGTTTCACTCAAATCTGAGC